AGCTCTGGAGCCTGAGGGCTTCGCCCACGGCAGCCTGGGGGACATATGAGTCACCAAGAGTATGTATGGACAAGGGACTAAGAGAGATGGCCTCGGCGCTGACGGTGAGACCTGAGGGCTGCATGCTGCCCAGGAGGAGTCTGACCAGGGTCCGAGCCTCTGGGTCAGTAGTTGGAGGAAGGCTTCGTGGGGGGTCCTGGGAAGGGGAGAGGTCCTGGAGCTGCAGTTTGACCACAGCGGTACGCCTGGGAGAAGCATCATTGCTGAGTCATGGTGTCCAGCACAAACACACATACATGTCGCATGAGCTATGAGGCCTCCTCGGAGTGGGAGAAACAGGTCTCCTTTCCATTTTCCCCATCTGACAACTCAGAAAACTTAAGGAGTTAGGGCAGAAAAAGGCTGTTCAGTTGAAAACCCGATCTTTCTTGCCTCCTGGCTGGAGCGACTGCCAGGCTGGTACCCTGCAGCCCCCTTCAGACAGCGGTGGATGTTGGCTGAGCGCCATCACCACGTGTCTGCCTTCCCAGCATCTGTTCTCCCTCCTGTGGAAAACAGCCCCCTGATTTTACGTTGAAGACACACCCTCCCCTATTCAGACCGTGTGGCTCAGACATATTGCCCACCCTCCTCCCTGACCCCAGGGAAGGGAGAACTTGACCTAGACACGGCCACAAGATTTGTTCAGAGACGAGCATGGCATCCAAGCCAGGCCAGTGAGATTCAGGTCTGGACCTCTGATGGAATAATTCAAAACTGAAGTGATCTTCCTGCTGGGATAGCTGAGAACATAAGATGGAAACTTGGAATGCAGGCAGCCATCTTGCCTCCACAAGGTAAGGAACAGGAAACAGCCTGTTTTACCACAAAACTGAGCCAGGACTGACCCCGAAGGACAGCATGTCTGGATCCAGCTGTGTCTGAATCCACCGTGCGTCACTCAGTTGTGGGAATCAATAAACCACTTTCTTACTAAGCCAGTTCGAGTTGGGTTTCCGACACATAGAACTGAAAGGTGCTAGTACAGGTATTAATCCCAGCGTGACTTTGTACTAGCTATTTAATCTCTCTGGCCCTCAATTTTCTCATCCATAAATGAAAACAATACTATCTGCCTCACATGGCCACTGAAAGAATTAAATGAGGTGACTTATGTAAAGTGCTGGCAAATAGTAGATCCGCAATAAATGTTAGTGCCCTTCTCCGGTTCCAAATATAAGACCAAATCTGGATCTCAGAGACACAACATGCGGCATGAATTAGGAGAAGATATAAAAGTATAATAAAGTGACCCTTGCCTCAGGAAACAGAAACTAAGTTGACCCAAAAAGTTCAGTCAGTAAGAATCAGAAAAATCAGATCCCAGTTAGGAAATACGCATAGGTTTTGAGCTATCTTAAAGAAACTCCCACAACTAAAATTCATAAGTAGAATGCATTTCCCCTGTAAAGTTATCCAGTCTTTTAAACAGAGACTGCAGTGCACTTTGCCTGCAGGGTGAGGAATTGGAGGGAAGAGGAGGACGGGAGAGGTGGGTAGACGACCCCTTCCTTTCTTCCTTTAGCTGATTTCATTTCGGTCCTTTGCGTGCAGGGTCTTTATTTGCTAATGTTGATGTTGTTATTGTTCCTATCTTAGTAATTTTTCTTTCATCCAACGGTATTTCCTTGCCAGTGTCTCTGGCAGTTTATACAGATAGCAAGGACAAAATTGGTCAACTCCAGTTAATAAAATATCAGGAAATTCATGAAAACTTTGAACTGGGCTTAACTGAAGATTTATGTTTCAATCCCTAAGGGAACAGAGGCCCAAAATGTCATTTCCTTGCCTCAGAGTCACAGAGCTAGCGTGTAGAATAGCAGAACTTAAATCGAGTCATGTGGAGCCTGAATTACTCTAGCGAGTATTCTGAAGAAGGCCCTGAGAGGCGTAGGTCCTGTGTGGACGATGCAGACCCTGAGGCCCAAGAAGTTAGGTAGCTGGCCTGAGGCCACTGCGGCAGCTGGAGCCAGCCCAAGTTCAGGTCTTATGACAACGAGCGAGCGTGGTGTTCTTGATTAAGCGGACTCCGTCTCCCAGGCCCGAGGGGCTGTGAGTTGAGAGGCTGTAGGAGTGTGTGGCCCCTCTTAGAAGACAGGTCCTCTATTATGGGGGAAGAGGAGGGGAGGGTCTAGGATTCTGGTGAGCCCAGGCCCCAGAAGGGCAGTAGCCAAGGAGGTCCAGGAGGCTATATAGTGTCATGGCCTACACTTGCCTTCTGGTGTCAGACCGATTGAGTTCACGCCCTCTTTGCAGCACTCCTACTTTCCAGCTGTGGAATTTTGAACAAATGGCTGGACCTTTCTGTGCCTCACATCACCAGCCTGTGAAATGGGGATTCATAAAGTACTTAGTACAGTACTCGGCATACAGTATGCCCCCAATGACAGTAAGCTCTTCTGAGCAGTTGAAGACAATTTGCAGTCATGTGTCAGGCACCTCCAGTGTGCCATGGCCTGTGTCAGGGCCCTGGAGACTCAGAAATGGACAGGACAGACACGGTCCCTGCTGTGAGGGGAAGTGGCCAGAAATCTGGGTGGGGAACATTGACATTAAATAAGTAACTGCAAGTATGGTGAGTGTTATGACAGAGAAAGAGGTGAACATCGTGGATTTTATGGTATAGGACCCCTTCCCAGTCCAGGGCCAGGGCAGGCCTCCCTGAGGCGGGGGTGTTTCAGGGGAGACGGGAAGGAGGAGTTGCACTTGGTACATGGAGGCAGCCCGGCCCCCAGGGAGCACACAGCCCTGCACGGGCAGAACGGGGCACTGGGCTGACACTCAGCAGAGGGCAGGGAGGATGGTGGTCCCCAGCAGCAGTTCTGGGCCCAGCCAGGGTCTCTGTCCTCAGGAAAGTGCAGACCCCACACAGGGCAGTCTCTCAACAGCCCCATCAATGAGGTTTACATTCCACCAGGGGCAAGGCTCTCCGTGTGTGCACTTTCTGTCCTTGCCCACAAAGCAGAGGATATTTATTTATTATGGATAAATGGTTTTCCATGTGAAGCCCAGCTGGCACTTTCCTGAGTTTGTGCATTTCTTGGAGGCAGGTCGTCTGCATTTTTATCTTTGAAAAGCCTCTTCAGAGAGCTTATTGTCTAAGGCGAGGGTCTTGTCGCATCTGTCCAGGAAGCTCTGAGGTGGTATTCCGGGTGTGTGTGTGTGTGTGTGTGTGTGTGAAAGAGAGAGAGGGACTACAGTGAATGTCGTGGGCCCCCATGCTTGGTCATGGGCATGAACTGCTTTAATTATTGGAGGGTCGGGAACCAGAGGAGATGCCAGAGGCAAATGACTCTTCAAATGGTTGTTGCAGCTCAAAATCAAAGAAGCCCTTGAATCTGGCAGGGGCACCTCCTGCAATTATTGATAAGACATCCAGCCCATTTCCTCCCTGGGCCTGGCTCTGAGATTGCCTGATGACTCAAGACTGGGTCTGATGACACAGAAGGAGCCCCCTAAGACCGAGGCTCTGAGAGGGACCCAAGAATTAACAAGAGGATGCTTTGGACTCCTTCTCCTTGTGCCTCAGTTTCCTCATCTGTAAAAAAAGAATAATAGTACCTATTGCACCGAGTTGCTTTGCAGATGAAATGAGTTAATACATGCAAAGTGCTTAGAAGAAGGCAGGCACATAGTAAGTGCTTGATAAATGCTATTATTATTACTGTTGTTGCTGTTGTTACTGTGATTATTGTTTTGCTGTTGTTATTACCAACCTTCCCTTTTTCCTCTCCTTGTCAGTAACACCCTCAAGCTGAGGCCTGGGGAGAGTGGTCGGTGGTGTTCATCTGAGCAGGTCCAGCCGTAGAAGGCCAGTACTCCTAGGAAGGATCCCACAGCCTCAGCCTTCTCTGAATCTGTAAAGACAAAACCGTGTCGCCTCTAACTATCTGCAAGCCCAGAACAGAAGCCAAGACAATTGCACGCTTGAAACACACCCCAGAGCTCAGAGCTCAGAGGCCCTGTCTGCGGCACCACGGTGACCATCCCCAGGGCAACAGAGCCACGGGAGGGGGCTCCTTGATGTTGGAGGAAATAGAAGATAAACTGAACTTACACTTGAGTTTCTAAATCTCTGACAGCAAATTTTGTTTTGATTTACACACTGTCATTCTTAGTATCAGATTCAGCTCTCCTCCCCGACCCAGAACATTTTTGATTTACAAATCGGAAAATAAATGAGTTTGCATCCTGAGACAGTCTTACAATCACTCCAATAAATTCTCCATCGGTGGCTCTCAGCTCTTAGCCACTTCCCTTGCATTGGCTGCTCTATGAATTAGAGGTGAGTATATCATATTTTATAGAGCTGCATTCCTGCAGATGCGTTCTGCTCATCTGTCTCTCCTGAAACCGTGGGCTTGTGGATTTTGTCAAAATTAGTGGAGAAGTGCGTGGTCTGTTTAGCAGGTCAGACTTTCTTGCTGGAATCCCTCCTTCCCCGGAAAGCTGAGTGCCTTCCCCCAGCCCTCTCCCCCATCACTCTGCATCTTGTCCCCTCCTGGGCCCCTTCCAGCCTGTCTTTCTTTCTCCTACAGCTGGTTACCCTGCTGCTGCTCCAGCGGAAGCCTACTTTGCAGCATCTCCTGGGGAGTGAACTCCAGCTTGAAGGGGCTTTGCCTCCTGCGTTTGAGATCAGATAGCTCGGTGGTTAGCCACCTGGGAGCAGACAGAACTCCTTCCTCTAAATCTCTCTTAAGATCTGAGCTTTCCAACATTTGTTACTTTAAACCTCAAAACTCCCAGGGGTGGGGGTACCTCAGAAGATGACCTTGAAATGCACATCTAGCTCCTGCCAAGAGTCTTCATTAGCCCACTGCCACAGTTTGCATTAGCAGGGCAGTTGGTAGGCCCTGGGCTCAGAGTGGAAAAAACAAAAATACTGGCTATACTGGATTGACTAGTGTCCCTCAAGAATTCACATCCTTCTCAAAACCTCATTGTTGATGATGTCATTGTTGATGTAATTAGTTAAGCTGAGGTCATACTGGTATAAAACGGGCCCTTAATGCAACATGACTGGTGTCCTTCAAAGAAGAGGAGAAGAGACACAGAGACAGACATGGACACTGGGAAGATGATGTGAAGGCTCACAGGGAGAACGCCACGTGATGCTGGAGGCAAAGATAGGAGCTGAAAGCTGGTGATGAAGCTGAAAGCCAAGGAGCACCAAGGATTGCCGGCAGCCACCAGGTGCTAGGAGAGAGGCATGGAGCAGACTCTCCCTCCGAGCCCCCAAGAAGGAACGGACCCTGTGCACCCCTTCATTGTGGACTTCCGGTCTCCTGCACCGTGAGAGAATAGATTTCTGTTGGTTTACATGACCAGTTTGTGGTACTCTGTTATGGCAGCCCTACAAGACTAATACACTGGCCCTTTAGGATGTGTGGGAAGACAAGCATGAGCCAGGGTGGCTGAGGTTGGTCACTGCAGACCTGACTGCAGAAATCCTGTTCTCCCTGCCCCCTGTCTGGGAGCCCTGGGGCTCCTGAGCAAGCTGGGGTTGACTAGGCTGGGGTTTCTCAAATGGTGGGTCTTAGTCCTTTGCTGAGTTGCAAGATGAATATAGACCTTCACTTCACAAAATAAAATAGAATGAAATAGAATTGTGTAGCAAAGAAGCAAAAGAAAACAATCACAGTGCAATACACGTAGTACATTTGCTTCAAAAATATCTATTTGTGGTGCTTTCCATACATACTTAAAAACATAGGGGTTGTGACCAAAAAAGTTGGAAAAAGGCCTGTATTAGGCCAAGCTTATGCCATTTCATCTTCACAACAAATTCTTTGAAGCATGTCGTATTATCCCCATTTCTACAAATTAGAAAGCTAAACCTCAGAGCCTCCATAGCTTGTCTGTGCAGTGAGGGGTAGCTGGGAATTGAACACAAAACTGCCCCGTGTTTGCACTTTCCCCAGCTTCATACTGCTGTTGTCCAGCTCCAAGAGCTGAAGTGGAGGCCTCTGGCCTAGGACTGGAGTGACGGCAAAGGTGTCATACTGTGTTCTTTTCCCACTTCTCCAAAGGCTGATGGAGATGCCAGTGACCCAGGTGGCTGAGCCGGCTGCTGTTCCTCGACCGGGGAACCGGGAAACCTGACCCTCAGGGCACAGCTCAGTGGACTTAGCGTTACCCCAAGAGCCCAGCTATAAAAGGGGCTCAGAGGGAGTTTAATAGTTTGTTCCGGGTCCTGAAGAGTGGGCTCATGGGCAGCCTCCCTTGAACCCCAGACCTTGGCATTGGCTGATTTTTGCACCGGGTCAGAAGGATTTGGCAAGGAACATCTGCATTTTAAAAGAGATTCCCAGGGAGAGAGCATTCTCACCCCAAATACTGAATAATAGACGGTGGGCTTTCAGGCGTGATGGCTCCTTGAAGATGAAGTATTAAGTTATTCTAACTACCAACAACAGCCTATCAATGTGGATCCCCCCAAAAAAGAAATAAATTTTATTTAGCACCCCATACACATTTCCTAAATGTGTCTGAGTGGAGTTTGGGGGGTGGGATGTTTCGAATAGAGGGACAATGGGTACATTTAGAAATGCATGTCCAAACCCTTGACCTTTAACACCTGGTAGGCTCATCCTCATCCCGAGTCACAGCCGTTTGTGTGTTTCTGCTTGTCCTATTTCACCACGGCCCAATGATGATATACGAAGAGAGAGGGGAACATGAGATTAACTTCAATATAACTGTATTATTGCCGGGGGGTATAGAAAGAGGAGGCCATTAAACGTCCACTTTAGGTGGTTAGGCCGATCCTTCACCGGCCCAAGGAGTCGGCCCTAGCACACTAATATATCAGCTCCCTGATGGGAGGGCAGGAGCCACACAGCCAGGCCCTCTGGTTCACTCCCTCTGCAAAGTTCCAATAAAATGAAGTGATTTTCCCCTAAGATTAAAAGGCTCTTGTGATTCACCTCCTTAGGCTTCCAAACAAGATGGAGTGGGGGTTGGGTGGTGATGTGAGGAGCTAGAGTCACCAACCTGGCGGGGTGAGATGGGCGTTGCTTCTAGAAGTGCCATCAAAATGGCCACCTCTGCATATAATCACTTTGAGGCCTCAGTGCTCTTTAGCTGTTCCATTTTCTACCAGAAGTAGTTGGTTAAAAAGTCTCCAGAAAGTGCAGTAACTCTAAATGCTGCGTTGCTGTAAATGGTTCTGGAATCCTCTGAAAGCATTAACCTCTTCCTAGACACCAAAATTGCTCATATATACAGGGAGATGCATTTGTACTGCACTTAACAACTGCAAAGTGTGTTCACATGCATTCTTACGTGAGGTAGACAGGGAAGGAATTACTATTTTTTTCTTATTTACTCAATTAACTTGTATTACTTTAATTAATTTCACCTCCTGTGAAATGTACAGACCTTCAGCGCACAGTTAGGTGACTTTTGACAAATGCATACAACTGTGTAACTCATGATCCTATCAAACTAGGGAACACTCATATTACTCCAGGAAGTAACGGGTTTCTCTTTGCAGTCAAGCCCCCATCTCCCCCACCCACAAGAAGCATCATTTTTCACCATGGATTGGTTTTGCCTGTTCCAGAACTTCATATAAATGGAATCATACAGGATGTACTCTTTTGTGCTTCTTTTATTCAGGATAATATTATTAGGTGTATTAGTAGTTCTTTTTATGAGTTATATTCTTTTCTATGCATATTCTATAATTTGTTTACTCATTAGATGGACATTTCAATGATTTCTAGTTTTTGGCTATAATGAGTAAAGCTGTTATGAACATTCTGTGCAGAGATATGTTTCTCTTTACATATCTCTACATTATGAGAGAGATATGTTTAATTTTTATAAGAAACTGCCAAAGAGTTTTCCAAAGTGGCTTCATCATTTTACACTCCCACCAGCTATGAATGAAAGTTCCAGTTACTCCACAATCTCCCCATGTTTGTGCCATATTCTCACCATATTCTCTCAATATTTGGTGTTGTCAGACTTTTTAAATTATAGTCATTATAGTGCGTAAATAGTGGTATCTCACTATGGTTTAATTTGCATTTCTCTCATTATTGATGATGCTGAACAGTTTTTCACATGCTTATTAACCATTTGTATATCTTTCTTTGTAAAATGTCTGTTCAAGTCTTTTGCTTTTTTAAAGCCAAGCTCCTTTTTTAAAAATATTGCATCATAGGAGATATTTAGTGTATATATTACATACAGTATTTTTGTCAGATATATGTATTGGGAATATTTCCTCCAATCTATGGTGCTTTCTTAGAAGTGTTTTATTTTGATGAAATTCAATTTCAAAATATCTTTGCCTACTTCCATAGTCATGATGATATTCTTCCATGTTTGATTCTAGAAGTTTCATAGTTTTAGCATTTACATTTAGATCTGCAATCCATTCTGAATTAGTTTTTGTATATGATGTGGGGTAGGGATCAAGATTCATTTTTTTTCCCATATGCATATCCAATTTTAGCACTATTTATTGAAAAAAATTCCTTTTCTCATTGAGTTGCTTTGGTTCTTTTGTTAAAAATCAGTTGACCGTATATGTGTCTGTCTATATCTGGACTATATTCTGTTTCATTGATCTATTTGTCAATTAGAATGTAAATATCATACCATTATGATACTGTAGCTTTATAGTATGTCTTGAAATCAGGTAGTATACACCCTCCAGCTTGTTCTTTCTAGAAATTGTTTTGGCTATTTTAGGTCCTTTTTATTTCCATACAAATTATAGAATTGTGCAATCAATTCCTACAAAAAAACTCTGCTGGGGGCTGGCCTGGTGGTGCAGCAGTTAAGTCTGCGTGCTCCGCTGTGGCAGCCCGGGGGTTCACAGGTTCGGATCATGGGCACGCACTGACGCACCGCTGCCAAGCCATGCTGTGGCGGCGTCCCACATAAAGTAGAGGAAGATGGGCGCTGATGTTAGCCCAGGGCCAATCTTCCTCATCACAAAAAAAGAGGAGGATTGGCATTGGATGTTAGCTCAGGGCTGGTCTTCCTCACAAAAAAAAAAAAAAAAGCCTGCTGGATTAGGGAGAATTGATATCTCAATAATTTTGGATCTTCCTATCCACGAGCATGTTATTTCACTCCATTTATTTAGTTCTACTTTAATTTGTCTCAGTCATGTTTGAAGATTTCAGCGTGGAGGTCTTGTGCATCTTTTGTTAAATTTATGTCAAAGTATTTTTATTTCTTATGCTATTGTTAATGGAAATTTTTTCTTAAATTTCATTTTCTAATTGTTTACTGTTAATATATAAAATAAAAATAGATTTTTATATATTGATCTTTTATTCTGTGACCTCACTAAATTCACTTATTCTGGTAGCTTTTTTGAAGATTCCTTTGTATTTTCTATGTGCAAAATGATGCTGGCTGCAAAAGAAAGACAGTTTAAACTTCAGCTTTTTCTTTTCAGTTTGTATGTCCTTTTGTTTTTTCCTGCTTTATTCCATTAGCTAAGAAACCCCATCTAACATAAAGTTGACTAGAACTGGGGATAGCAGGTATTTTTTACCTTGTTCCCAATCTTGGGGGAAGTATTCAGTCTTTCACCATTAAGTATGGTGTTTTCCACAGATGCCTTTTGTCAGGCTAAGGAAGTTCCCTTCTAGAGTTTTCTTTTTTATCATGAGTGGGTGTTGAAAATTGTCAAATGCTTTTTCTGCATTTATTTGATGAGTGTATGATTTTTACTTTATTCTGTTAATGTGGTGAATTACATCATTGATTAACGCTAAATTAACCTTGAATTTCTGGGATAAATGCCACATGGTCATGATATGTTATTGTTTTGTGTATTGCTGAATTCTATTTGCTAATATTTTCTTAAGGATTTTTGTTCCTATGTTCACGAGTACTATTTATCTGATATTTTTCTTTTATGTAGCATACTGTCAAGCTTCAATATCCTTGTAAGTTGAGTCAGGAAGTGTTTACTCTCTTATTTTCTGAAAAAGTTTGTGTAAGATTGGTATTATTGCATCCTTAGATGCTTGATAAATCCACCATTGAAGCCATGTGGGCATAGAGTTTTCTATGAGGAAATTTTTTAGTTACAAGTTCAATTTCTTTTGCAAATGAGGAAAAATTCAGATTTTCTATTTCTTCATAGTTCAGTTTAATATTTGTGTCTTTCAAGGAATTTATTCATTTTATATAAGATGTGGAATTTATTTGTAGAAAATTTCCATAGTATCTCTTTATCTTCTTTTTACTGTCTGTAAGGTTTGTAGCGATGGCTCTTATATTCCTGAGATTGGCAATTTCTCTCTCTCTCTCTCTCTATTTCTCAATCTTTTTATTACTATGGCAATGGAGTTATCAATTTTGTTAAGTTTTTAGAAAACGAACTTTTGATTTTATTGATTTCCTCTACTGTTTGTTTTCTTTTTCATTATTTTCTTTTCTTTCTACTTTCTTTCTGTTTAATTTGCTTTTTTCCCTCCTAACTCCTTAAGGTGGTATCTGATGTCACTGGTTTTCAGTCTTTCTTCTTCTCTCATGCAATCACGTGATGCTCTATATCTCCCTCTAAGCACTCCTTTGGTTTTCTTCCACAAATTTTAATACACAGTGTTTTTATTGTCATTCATTTTAAAATATTTCTAATTTCCCTTGTGATTTCTTCTTTGGCTCATATTTAGAGATATGTAGCTTCATTTCTAAATATTTGGAGATTTCTAAATATTTCTTGCTATTGATTTCTAATTTAATTCTATTGTGGTCAGAGAAGATGCTCCTTATGATTTCAGTACTTCATCATCTACCCTGGTAAATGTTTCATGTGTGCCTGAAATAAATGTGTGCGGTGTCGGGTATCGTGTCCTATAAATGGCAGTTACGTTGGTTGACATCTTTTTGCCTACTTGCTCTGTTAATTACTCAGAAGTGTTAATGTATCTAGCTGTGATCACAGACTTGTCTATTTCTCTCTTTAGTTTGGTTGATTTTTTCTGAATGTATTTTGAAGCTCTTTTATAAGAGCACATACATTGTTATGCCTTTTTGATGAATTGACCCTTTTATCCTTATTAAATATTTCTCATTATCTCAGTAATATTCCTTAAAGCGTGCCTTGCCAAATTAATATAGCTACTCAAGCTTTCTTATGATTAGCATTCATCTTCCCTTTTCTTTTGCTTTTAACTTCTCTGTTTCTTTATTTTTAAAGTATCTTGTAAATAGCATATCGTTGAATCTTGCATTCTTATTCAGTCTGACAAGCTCTACTTTTCAATTGAAATGTTTAGCCAACTTTGCTATTTGTTTTCTATTTTTCCCATCTGTTCTTTGGTCGTTTGCTTTTCTTTATTCCCTTCTTTTGAATTAATTTAACAATTTTTAGTATTCCAATTCTATTGACTTGAGTTTTGTAGTGATTGCTCTAGAGATTAAAATATGTGTTCTTAATTTATCACAGTTTGTCTTTAGTTAATACTATACCACTTTATGTAAAATGTAAAAATCCTACAATAATACTATCCCACTTATTTCTGTTCCATCCTTGTGCTATTTTTTACTACATTTTAATTCCAAATATGTTATAGGTCCCAGAATGTATTCTTAATATTTTTGTTTTAAAGAGTCAATTGTCTCTAAAGAAATTAAAAAACAAAAAAATTTATATTTAGGGGCCCGCACCTTGGCGTGGCGGTTAAGTGCTCACACTCCGCTGCTGGCCGCCCGGGTTCGGATCCCGGGCATGCACCAATGCACCGCTTGTCAGGCCATGCTGTGGCGGCGTCCCACATAAAGTGGAGGAAGATAGGCACGGATGTTAGCCCAGGGCCAGTCTTCCTCAGCAAAAAGAGGAGGATTGGCATGGATGTTAGCTCAGGGCTGGTTTTCCTCACCAAAAAAAAAAAAAAAAATTTATATTTACCATTCCTTCTCTCTTTATTCCTTCGTGTAGATTTTGAGTTCCCATCTGCTTTCATTCGCCTTCAGCCAGATGAACTTCCTTTAACGTTTCCAGTAGTGTGGTGTATTGATGAATTCTTTCAGTCTGTGTTGAGTTTGAAAATGTTATAGTTTCACTTTTTTTAATGGATATATTTACTGGAAATAGGATTCTAGGTTGATGGAGTTTTTTCTTCAGCATTTTAAAGATGCCATTCTGTTTGCGGTTATTCTTATTGATCTGTATCACTGTGACTGTTTGATCTGCCTGGTTTAACATTTTTCCCTCTATCATTAGTCTTCAGAAATTTTACTAACTTACCCCAAGTCTTCTTTTTGTTTATAATACTTAGGATTTGTTGAGCTTGCTGAATTTGAACTCGTTGGGTTGATATATTTCATCAAATTTGGAAATGTTTCCACCATTATATTTTCCTTTTTCTGTTGTTTTTTTTTAAATGTATTTCAATTTCTCTTTTAGAAGTCCCATCTATTTGTTTATTATATCCACATTTTCCTTATAAATCCTTGAACAAATGTGTAACAGTTGTTTTAAATTTCTTGTCTGCTAATCCTACTATCTGTGTCATCTCTGTGTTTCTGTTGACTGTTTTTCTCCTAGTATTAGGTCATATTTCCTGTGTCTTTATTTGTCTAGTGATTTTCGAGTGTATCTTGTACATTGTGAATGCAATATTGTTGAGGACCTGAATTATATTTTCTTCTTTTTAAGAGTCTTGCATTTTTCTGTCAGTTAACTTACTAACAGCACAGCTTGGTTTTAGGCATTGGTATGACAGGCTAAGAGTAGGTAGGACAAGAAAAAGCAGCCCTTAATTTAGGGCATGACCTTTCTGGGGTCTTAACTAAATGCCTAGGATGTTCACTGCAGTTTTTCCCCTCTGGAACGTTGAAACTCCAACATGTCCCAGTGCTGTGCCATCTCTGGAATCTCCATTCAGTTCCCAGCACCCAGTATTGGTTGTCTGCCAGGCCTTGTGGAGTCTCGCCTGCACATGTATAGCTTAGCATTCGTCCACAGACTCAAGAGGTCCATTATGCAGATTTCTATGACTTTTCTCCTGCATAGCTTCCTCTTCTTTGGTATCCTGCCTCTCACATTCCAGCTGCCTCATCAGCGCCAGACTCTAACCTTTTTCCTCTACCCAATGATAACGCTGCTCTCTATTTCAGTTTCATACCCATGCCATGATTTAGAAAGTGTTCTCAGGCAGAAAAGCTAGCGTAAATGTGAAGTTATTCCATGTGTTCTTCTCTCAAGCCCTGCACTGTCTGCAGTCCAATGATTGAAAACAGTTGTTTCAAATTTTTTTTCCAGTTTCATAGTTGCTTATGGTGAGAAGAAAAGTCCAATACCCAATATTGCATTATGGCTTGAACTGGAAGCCTCCACTAGTCCCCTTTTTACAGGTGGGAGTGTGGAGGCTTATAAACTCCAATGTCTTTGCCCATTCAAGGTCTCTCGGGCAGTGGGTGTCAGAATCCTGACCTGAGCCCTGACTTCCACCTCTACTTTCAAATCTCTCTGAACCACGTTTCACCTTATATCAGTCTCTGGTGTGTCCTGTACTGGTGCTTCAATCTTTTGGAGACATTGGATGGCAGAGTGTACTGGGTGGGCTTTGGGTCTGGCAGGCTTGGTTTGGAATCAGATTCTCAACTTACCAACTGATTGACCTTAGAAAAGTGCCTTCACGTCCTTACCCTCATTTCCTTATCCATAAAGAGAGTATAAAAACACTCGCCATTGTGAGGGATTTACACTGATGAAATGTTTAGAGCTCAGCATGGTGCCCAGTGGAGAGATATGCTTTGTAAATGTGAGCCAACCCCAATCAGATTCTGCGACCTGAGGGTTGGTAACTAACAAACGCTGCTCTATCTCTTTCCATGCACATGGCAAGCCTGACTTGTTTTGTTTATTAAAGCATTTTGAGGCAACAGCACTTGGTGAATCCCAGATGTTATTAATATCTCTGAATCACTATGCATTTCTATAAATACCTTTTTTCCTCTAGCTATGTTATTTTCCCCCCTTATCTCACTAAAATGTAAGTCAGCAATGAAGTTATGAATTACTGCTCCCTTATTCTCTGTTCTGTAATTAAGGAAGTGCTAGGTAAGAGCACTTGCTGAGGAATAGGGGTGGGGGGTGGTTAGTGCAGCAGGCAGGGTGAATGCTGGAGGCTGCCTGCCACTAAGGCGCTACCTAGAGATAGTAAACTGTGGATGCAAGCCAGCTTAGGGGAGCAGAGCTGGGTACCTAAAGGCTGAAGGGTGTAACTAGTTTCAGCCCATGAGGATTCTCCTTGTGGAGCTTTATTCTTGTCAAAAACCAGTTTCCCAACCTGGCAAGCACTTCATTTTAGGCCTTAGCATTTCGTCGGCATCTTCTTTTGCTTATCCATGCCTACTGGAATTAACCAGCCATCCATTTCAGTTGTACCCCATGTTCATTATTTTAAGTTGGGGAGGAGAGATCTTCAGCAGAATTTGATCCTTTACAGGTATGCCACTGCTTAGGACCAAGGGCAGGAAATCTTCTAAAACTACTCTGCCTCCAGTCACACTGATTTTTAAAGACTTTACATCATGAAAAATACTGTTAGGAAGGGAAAAAAACATAGTTTCTGACAAAGAAAACACGGAGTGTTTCTTTGTTTCCAACGAGTGTTTCCAACGAGATGACTTCTCCCTTAATTACCTCCAGGTTCTTAGAAAGAGAGAACTGTAGCCATCAAAGGAAACTGTGGAGAGAAGTCGTGAAGTAGCCTTCTTTGGGGGAGGCCTTTCAACATGGGAGGTTTTAAAACTAAACAGACATGAGTTCAGATGCAACCCTGCCCTCCTCACGTTTATAGCAAGAACATGGAAGCCCAGAGAGCCTATGGTAGAGCCAGGGTTGGACCCTGTCAAACTGGCTCAGGTCACTGCTCTTAACCACTTCACTATGCTGAGCATTTAAAAGCAAGTAAGAAACTTGTCTGTAAGATCTGAGTCATGTAGTTCCTTCTCTTGCCTCATCAGCAAAGCAAGTCTAAGGAGACAGGACAGCAGAGGTGCCAGCTCCTGAATGTGACCTAACATGGCCCTTGTATAGGAGTCACTTGACTTATCCTAGCCTTGACACTAGCGAGGACCCTTTTCATGGGAACAAGGTTATGTTCCAACTAGGAGGAAATCATCTGAATAAGAAAATAATGCAAAAGGCATGAGCTACAACTTCCAAAATGGCAGAGTGAGGAACTCAGTGGGCCCTCTTCCCAACAAAACCACCATTTAAGTGGAGAAAATTTAAAAACAACAACAGTTATCTAAAAGTCTCTGAAAATTGCCATCAGGGCATACAGAAAATGAAAAAATATTCATTCAAGAAATCTACTAAGTCCCAGTAACAGTGAGAGCCTGTGGCATTTGAGCCAAGATTTGCTCCTCCTCCAGCTTCTCTCCAGCTCCCTCTTAGATGCTCTACCCAGGCCAGCACAGCCAAGAAGAGGGAGGCTCCCTCTCTCTCCTGATTCCCAATCTAAGGTTACAGTCTCACCCTGAGGGAGGAGTGGGGCAGAACAGGCCACTGGCCTTTCTCATCTCCTCCAGTCCATGTTGCAACAGCTCTATTCCTGCTGGGTGTGGCCAAGAGACTGAGGCTCTTTCCCCTCCACCTCCACCCAGCCCCTACTCTGCTCAATAGAGAAACTCTACTTCAGGTGCAGCAGGCCAAGAATACTGGGGCCTGATTCCCCCTCTTCCCCTCTCCCCACTCCAGCTTGTATGTAGAGTGAAAGCTGCACACCTGGAGGGGCAAGCCAAGAAGACCAGAGGCTACCACCCCTCCCTCAGTAACTGCTTGCAGTATAGAAATATCACTCCAGGAAAAGCACGCTGCTGGACCCCAGCTCCCGTGCAGTGGTGCTGAGTTTCTTCCCAGGGAGGCCTTAAGGAAAAAATGCTCAGCAGCTCCACCTGAGGAAACCGAATTTACTTGGAACAAAGCATGGAAGATTCCATGCCTAAGAGCATGTTGGAAATAGTGGAGATCTTAGTGGAGAACAATTAATGAGTCTCTCCTAACTCCCTGATACTGGTAACAACAAGCAAAATGGCAGAGCAATCAGAAGTTTGACAATAAGAACCCAAGAAAGAGACAGCCAAGAAGAGCCCTCCTGAGATGACAGCCAACCCTCAGGTCGGGAAGGCTATGAGTGGGGACTAGGCTGCACCCACATGAGAGCAACCAGAGCAGCATGCGAGGCAGACTTGAGAACATTCAAGGCTGCTCACAATCCACCAACCAATGTGCAAAAGCCTCACAAGTTGCTTAATCATAACCTCTGTCCAAACACTGCCTGAACAGTAAGCTTCTGTGATCCAGAGGCAGCTCTTAGGAAGACAGACCTAAAAAAATCATACGCAACCCTGGCAGTCTGAAAGACTGTATGCATGCCCAAGGCTGTGCCCTTTCAGCTGTGATCAGGAGGGGAACATCCATGCTATTGCTCTTTGGCTGAACATGGGGCAAAACCACAAACTCCTTGAACTGTGATAGCAGCCTCTAAGCCAAACACACAGTAAAGGGTTAAAAACATAACAGATCAAGAGGACTTAAGCACAACCTTTGACCAATTAGTGTTTTGCAATGACCCAGAGCAAGCCCTAGGTAGGTAAGCTAAAAGATAAAAACAAGGCTAAATGTCAGAGAAAGGACATTAGAGGCTGCACAGTGCATAGGAAATAGACTTCACAGAGTTAGTTCAGCCAAGTCACTAAACCAATAAAAAAATGGCCAAGCAAATAACAATTGCAACATCAGCCCCAGGGTGGAAGAGGCAGCAGGGAGTCAGTATCCAGAATCACTATAATGCATTATCTAAAATATGAACTTTTCAACAAAAAAATTATGAGACATATAAAAAGTTATGAGACTTTCCAAACAAGATAATATGAGCCATACTTAAGAATAAGAGCAGGCAATAAAACTGTCTGAGAGGACCCAGATTTGAACTTACTAAATAAAGATTTTAAATCAGCTATTATAAATATGTTCTAAGAAAAAAAGGAAATCATACCTAAGATACTAAAGGAGAATATGACAACAACGTCTCACCAAAAAGAGATTATCAGTAAAGAGGTAGAAATTATTTTTTAAATGGAAATTCTGGAGTTGAGAAGTACAATAACTGAAATGAAAAATTTGCTAGCGGGCCTCAATAGTATTTTGAGCTGAAAGAAAAAAGAATCAACAAATATGAAATAGACCAACAGAGATTATGCAATATGAAGAAGAGATAGTGAAAATATCTCAAATTTGATTAAGACCATTAATCTACACATGGACAAATCTCAACGAGCCCCGAGTATAATAAACATAAAGAAATTCAAACTCGGACACATGAAAGACAAAATACTGAAAGCCAAAGATAAAGAGAATTCAAAGCAGCAAGAGAAAAATGATTCATACAAGAGACCTTCAATAAGATTAACATCTGACTTTTTATCAAAAACCTTTGAGGCCAGAAGGTAGTGTACAAAAAGAAAAAAAAGAGTATCAACCAAGAATCTTATAACCAGCAAAACTATCTTTCAAAAATGAAGGCAAATAAAGACATTCCCAGATAAACAAAAACAGAAAATTCATTGCTAGCAGATCTATGTTACAAGAAATACTAAAGGAATTCCTTAGGCTGAAAGCAAGTGACACTGGACAATAATTTGAACACACACACACACAAAACAAACAATGCCAGTAAAGGTAATCATGTAGGTAATTATAAAAGATAAAATAATTGCATGTTTCTTATCTGAACTGATTTAAAAAACAATTGCATAAAACGATATGTGTATTTTTGTATTGTTGGACTTATAGCTTATAAAAGTGTAATATATTTGACAATAAAACACAAAGGAAATGAGTGAGAACAAAGCTGTATTGGAGTAAAAAAAAAAAAAACTACACAAGATAGTAACTCAAAACCACAGGAAGAAATGAATAGAATCAGAAATGGTAAATAATAAGCTTAATATGGCAAACTCTATAAATATACACTTGCTCTCCAGTCTTCTCTCTGCTTCTTTAAAAGACATATTACATATAAAGTATATAATATGTAATGAGGTTAAAAATAAAAGAATCAAAGAAGACATCTCATACAAACAGCAATTATAAGATAGCTAGAGTTTGTATACTGATATTATACAAAATAGACTTTAAAACAAAAAATGTTACTAGAGATAAAGAGGGACATTTCATAACAATAAAAGGATCAATTCATCAGGAAAACATAAAAATTATAAACATGTATACACCTAACAACAGAGCCCCAAAATACATGAAACAAATCTGACAGAATTAAAGAGAGAAATAGACAACTCAAAAATAATAGTTAGTTAGAGACTCCCACACCCCACTTTCCATAATGGAATACACATTCTTCTAAAGTGCACATGGAACATTCTCCAAGACACAGCATAAACTAGGCCATAAAACTAGTCTCAACAAATGCAAAATGATTGAAATCACGTGAAGTATGTTTTCTGACCACAATGAAATTAAAGTAGAAATTAACAGCGGAAGGACATTAGAGAAACACAGAAATATGTGGAAATTAAACAACAGACTCTGAAAACCAGCAAGTCAAAGAAGAAATAACAAGGGAAATTAAAAAAATACGTTGAAATGAATGAAAACAAAAACACAACATACCAAAATTTATGGGCTACAACTAAAGCAGTGATCAGAATAAAATTAATAGCTGTAAATGCTATATTAAAACAGAAGATAGATCTCCAATCAATAATTTAATCTTTCACCTTAAGAAACTGGAAAAAGAAGAGTAAACTAAACTCCAATCAAGCAGAAACAAGAAATAATAAAGAGTAGAGTGGAAACAGATAAAATAGAAAATAGAAAAACAGCAGAGAAAATCAATAAAACCAAAAGTTGGTTCTTTTGAGAAGATGAACAAAATTGACAAACTTTTAGCTAGACCACCAATGGTGGGGGGAGGGGGAAAAAAGATTCAAATTACTAAACCAGGAGTGAAAGAGGGGACATCACTACTGACTTTACAGAAACAAAAAAGATTAGAAGGGAATGCTACGAACAACTGTATAACAACAGTTTAGGTAACTTCGACCAAATGTTCAAATTTCTAGAAAGACAAAAACTACCGAAACTGACTCAAGAATAAATAGGAAATATGAATAGAGCTAAAATTAATGAGTTCAAATAAAGTTGTGGGATGCAAGACCAATATATAAAAATCAGTTGTATTTCTATACACTGAGAAGGAACAATCCAAAAAAGGAAAAAAGACAAAAAAATTCCATTGACAATAGCATCAAAAATAATAAAATACCCACGAATATATTTAACAAAAGAAATACAACATTTGTATACTTAAAAGAACAAAACATTGTTGAAAGAAATTAAAGAATGGAAAGCTATCCCATGTTCATGAATCAGAACACAATATTGTTAAGATGGCAATACGTCCCAAACTGATCTATGGATTTAATACAATCACTATAAAAACTTCAGCTATTTTTTTTTCTTTGCAGCAATATAAATGCTAAACCTAAAATTCATGTGGAAATGTAAGGGACTCAGAATAGCCAAAACAATCTTGAAATAGAAGAACAAATTTGCAAAACTCACATTTCCTGATTTCAAAACTTACTACAAAGATACAGTAATCAAGAGAATGTGGTACTGGCATACGAACAGACGTATATCAATGGAATAGAATTAAGAGTCCAGAAATAAACCCATATATTTATGGTCAATTGATTTTTGACAAGGGTGCCAGGAACATTCAATAGCAAAAGAATAGTCTTTTTAACAATTGGTAATAGAACAACTGGATAGCCATATGCAAAAAATGAAGTGGGACTCTTACATTACACCATACACAGAAATGAACTCAAAATAGATAATAGACCAAATGTAAAAGCTAAAACTATAAAACTCTTAGAAGAGAACCTAGGAGTAAATCTTCATGACCATGAAGTAGGCAATAGTTTCTTAGATATAATGCCTAAAGTTCAAACAGCAAAAGAAAAATAGATAAATTGGCCTATATAAAAAATTTAAAACTTTTGTGCTGCAAATCATATCAAGAAACTGAAAAAGACAGTCCACAGAATAGGAGAAACTATTTACAAATCAGATATGTGATAAAGGACTTGTATCTAGAATATATAAAGAAAATTTTTATAACTCAATAATCAAAAGACAACCAAATTAAAAAATGGGCAAAGAATATGAATGACAATTCTCCTAAGGAAGATATACACATGGATAATAAGGGCAGTCAACATCATTAAGCATTAGGGAAATGCAAATCAAAACTACAGTGAGAAATCACTTCATACTCACTAGGCTGGCAAGAATCAAAAAGATGAATAACAAGTGTTGGCAAGGATGGGAAGAAAATGGAACACTCATTCATTGCTGGTGGGAATGTGAAATGGTGCAGCCACTTCGGAAAATAGTTTGGCAGTTTCTCAAATTGTTAAACATAGAGTTACCATATGACCCAGCAATTTCACTCTGAGGTGAATATCCAAAAGGAAACAAAATATATGTGCACACAAAATCTTGTACACAAATGTTCATAACAGCATACTCACCATAGCCAAAAAGTGAAACAACCCAAGTGTCCATCAGCTCACGATGGATGAACAAAATGTGGAATATCTGTACAATGGAATATTATTCAGCAATAAAAAGAAATGAAGTATCAATACATGCTGCAACACAAATTAACTGTTTATTTGAAATGTCCAGAACAGGCAATCAATAGAGGCAGATACTATATTGATTGTTGCCTAAAGTTGGGGGTGGGAGGAATGGGAGTGACTGCTAACAGGTTTCTTTTGGGGGTGATGAAAATATTCTAAACTTAGGTTGTGGTGATGGTTGTACAACCCTATGAATATACTAAAAACCATTTGTTGTACACTTTCAATGGGAGAGTTGCATGGGATTTGAATTATATCTCAATAAAGTTGTTTTTAAAAATGGCTTAGCAATCCTGGGCAGAATCCTATAAAACTGTGTGGAATGATTAATGCTATAGAATGGAAACCATTAAGTGCACACAGTTCTATTGGTCTACATGGTACAGAGAACCATCCCTACAAATACATCTGGTCTCTGTAGACACATTCTATCGCTTTCCCACAGCCCACTCTTTCAACTCTGAGTGATTTATAACTTCTTGCCCTGGGAGGCCTCATTGTGCCAAATATTCTCTTCTTAACAAATATCAAAATAAAAAGAAGAATTTTTTTTAAAAACATACATTTTTTAAAACTCCAAAAAGTTAATGAGACAAAATGTTCTCTGTGGGAACATACTCAAAAGCACTTTAAACTACTGAGTGTTCTTCCAATGGGAGGCATCAATATTATCATTTTTACTATACATACTCAAGCCTATAAAATCATGAAAGCTAATTTCATGAATCACGTGAGAATGTCAGACTCATGGCTTATAGTAACCATCAGTAAATCACTAGCCCTTGTACTGGATATTTGCCCTGAGATAAAAATTGGAAGATCATCATCCTTCACCATGAGACTGGAAGGTGAAGGAGGAGCTTGTCCCCCACTGTGGACTGTGGAGTGGTCTCCAAGGATGCCACGTGTTTGGTACATGAGCCTCCATGCGCGCCTTGTACACCCTTGGCTGGTATTGCCCATGAATCCCGACACCCCCACTTAACCAGGAGAGGAGCACAGCCCTTCCTGATGTAGTGCTCCAAGCAGCCACTCCTTGCAGTGGAGTTGGAAGGAAGGCGAGCCCCACTGACGACCCCCGCCCTGAGCACTTAGTTGGTGCTGAAATAAGCCTGGTACTGAGAGGCTTCTGGTCCCAGACTTTAGACTCAGGGGAATTGGCTGGGTCAGTTTGGGGGTATAATTTCCAAACTTACCTGGATGTTACTGAAATGCTCTGGATGGGATGGTTTCCATCAGGCCTACATATCCTGCCCGGAACCTCGTTGGCCTTGTCTGAGGCCCTTGGATGAGTGATCTGAGCTGACGACAGTACACCAGGTCCTTCAGACATTTGAGCCCTATCTCAGAGGACCTGAGGGTGGAGGGATGCAGACAGGAGAGAGTTCTCACACCCTCGACCCTTCTCTCTGCCGCTCAGGCTGGTCTGGTGGCTGAAGGCTGCCCTGGGCCTGAAGATGGATCTGGGAGCCCCAGGAGCCTCTGTTCTTCTGCTGGTCAATAGCATTATACAGTTTGACCATTTTCCTTTTGGAAAGTGATCACTTGCTCTTACCTTCCAAGTGAGAAAAATTGTGAGTCAGACGATGGTGAAAACTCATTATTTGTATAAAACAAACAACCCTATAAGCACAAATGTTTGTGTGATGAAATCTTGTCTTGGCTGGGAGTGTTATGGGTTGAATTGTCTTCCCCCAAAACTCAGAGATTTAAGTCCTAACCCCCCACCAGTACCTCAGAATGTGACCTTATTTGGAGATAGGGTCTTTACAGAGGTAATTAAGTTAAAATGAGATCATTAGGGTGGGCTCTAATCCAATATGACTGATGTCCTTATAAAAAGGGGAAATTTGGACAGAGACACATGTACAGAGAGAATGCCATGTGAACATGAAGATCCTAGAACAGATCTTTCCCTCACAGCCCTCAAAACGAACCAACCCTGTCAACACCTTGATTTCAGACTTCTAGCACCCAGAATTGTGAGAGAATATATTTCTGCTGTTTAAGCCACCCAGCCTGTGGTACTTTGTTACAGGCAGCCCTGGCACAATAATGCAGTAGGTTTCTGTCCCATCCATCTAGGGTCTCCTCTGAAAGGCCAACATATGGCTGACATGGCAACATTCCCACAGAAACTATTTTCCCTTCAGGCTATGCCCTTTCCTCAGTGAGACCCCCGGAAGTTGAAGGTGGTCTCTGAGCTGGGTTCCTGACCACACTGGCAAACTTCTAAATTCTAGCTGTGGGGTGCCCAGATCCATGGCCAGACGCCTTGTGACCCCACTCAGGCTCTCCTTCACTGCCTTTTTTCTTCAACTATCTCTTCTTCAAACCAATCCCTTTCTGGCATCCAATTCCTCTCCAGTGTCATTCCCTTCACCAAACAATCTCTAAACCACCGTGTCACGTTCCCTGAAAGTTCTCGCCCTTGGTTCTAAGGCTTCCTCTTCATACTTTTAATACCGACACCAGTGGTCCCTCCAACAGCCAGCCTTATCCTGCCTCAGGACCTGTGGTTCTAAGGTTCATTCCCCCCACCTCAGCTCCCACAAGTGTGGTCACGTCCTGGACGGTCTCCTCACTGGGAGATACTCCTCTTCTGGCATTCCCTTTTTTACCACAATCTCTTGGCCTTCTTCTTCCCAGACCCATTGAACTTGTCCCTCTCACCACCTGTATCCCTCCTCAATACTGTTAAACCAGCATCGTAGAAGAGCACTCTCTGAGAGGCTGAGATCCGCTTTACAAATCTGGGTCCTACTTCCCCGATCAGACATTGCTTCTCATCCACCACTGCATCCGAAGGTCCGCTTGGTCCCCGACCTCAGTCTTGGCCATCCCTCACTATTGCATAAGACCACAGATTCCACTGTTTTGGCAAGACCTTGATCCTTCTCTCTATAGGGCTTTTGCATGCACCCTCAGGCTCTGTCCATACCCACAACCCACTCATTAACTGGCCTTTCTATTTGGCGCCAGTTCAGCCCTGTTAGTCTGCATAGCTGGCCTCTCTACAGGGTAGGATCAAGCAAAATCTACTCTTCTGTGTCCCTCAGACCTCAATCCCTTGATCTCCCATCTATTGGCTCCCTTAGTGGGTTCTCATTACCTCCCTCGCCATCTTTAATGGTCTTGCTTTCCTGTTCCTTCCAGCTACTGCTCCAACCCTTGACACATCCCTCCCTCACAGGAGACAGCCTCCCCTCCTACTTACTTCAGGGGAAAATGTGTAGCTACCTCATTACATGCATCCGTGAGAGTGGGAAGGCGTGTGAGTCTGTGTGACAGGGACTCTGAGCAGGTAAAAAGCATTGATGTGGAAGAAAGAAGAGACCCTCTGACGCTTGTTTCCGGCAGGAGTTTCCATTCCCAGGCCAGGGGCTCGAGAGACCCTCACTTTCACAGTCCCTGCTGCAGGAGGGGGAGCACAGCAGCCTGGAGCTTAAACTGAGGCTTAGGACTCTGGCCTAAGAACTTGAAACCTTCATGAGAAGAATAGAAACAAGAACACCTGGTGAGCAGGTGAAAGGTAGACTCAGAGGCCAGCAACGTGGCATCTCTCTAGACCACGATTTCTCAGCCAGGGATTTGGGTGTGACGTATGGGCTCCTGCTCTCAGCTCCTGGGGAAATGTGTGTGGGCTCTTCTGTTAGCATTTCTCACTATGGGTATCAAAATTGTTTTCAGGGGGTCCAAGCCAGTGGGTAAAGTGAGGTATGGACTTGGGGGAAAGGGCCATTCTCTCCCTTTGTGCTGAGATCCTAGGTCCTCCCAGCACCTGGGGACAGGAGGCTCTGGGATCATCAGGGAGCATTACTGTCATCTCTGACACTGTTGTTTTCATGCAGGGCACTGGCAGGCCTGGCAGCAGCAGCTGGAGAGATGTAAATGTGCCCACAGGGAACCGGAGTCGAAGAGGAAGGCGGCAGCCGCCATCTCTAGAGAGGCTTCGTCACTTCACTTACTTTGGTCCCTGTTTAACCCTTCCACGCTCACACCCACACACCCACATAGCATCATACACATACACCCCACACTCTCACACACACCCTCCTCAGGGCCCTGCTCCACCAGTCATCACCCACTTCTTGCACCTCCAGACGTTTCTATACCTTGGCTACATTGCCTCCTCTACACACATGGTCCAGTCCTCTTCCACACAGGGACAATCACCTGTCAGTAGTTTCCTTCTAACGGGCTGTTGGCCTTCCCGCTTCCTCCCTTTGTCGACACATTTCTCGTAACAGTTGTGTGCACTTCTGCATCTCTCCTCATCTTCAACCGCTGCAGTCTGGATTTTGACCTTCAGCAAAAGTCACAACCAACTCCGAACTCCCGGATCCAGGGTTCTTTCCCGGGGTTTTTATCCTATCCAAATCCTCAGCAGCGTTTGACTGACCGCTCTTCCTTGCAACTCCAGCTCCCCTTGGTCCCCAGGGCACCTCACTTCGGGTTCTCTCTTTTCTGACTGCTTTTTCCCCTTTGTCTGACTGGTCAGCAAATGGCATTACCCTCCCCAAATTCCATATAAAGCCTCTCACCTCCTTTCTCTACAACCTCTCCCTGAGGGTGCTCCCTCCCTCTTGCAGCTTGAAGTACAACTGGAGTCTCCATTCTCAAGAGCAGCTGAGCTCCAGACACCAGATGTCTAACTGCCCACTGGACATTTCTCCCTGGAGGCCGGGAACGTTTTAGGTGCCTTAACCTCAACCTGTTCAGAATGGAACATTTGTATATGCCCCTCCAATGAAATGTTGAGGTGTAGAAGAAGGAACCTCACACCTTGCTCTCTCCTATCTCCAAAACAGGTGTGTTTGGGGGCTAGAGGTGCATTTAGTGACAATGTCACCAATACTGTTTTCTAACTACGGATGAGTTGAGCCACAATGCAGATCAGCCAAAAGGAAATGAAAATTCTGACTGAAACTTTTATAGAAAAAGATTTACCATGATGAAAAGCTTTCAAACTATTCTGCTCTTTTCTCTAGGTAATTACATGTTATATCACTACTAACTATCATCCTGATCATAAAACCTACGCACTGATTGGATGAAATGTTGTCTCTGTTGCATGCCAGCTCTGTGTTGTATAACCTTCTTCTCTTCCTCCACATTCATCAACAACTTACCCTTCCAGACCCTTTTGAAAGATCGCCTGTCTCTGCCTGATGCTGTTCATGGACTGCACCCAGGAGCACCCAGTTATTTGGTTTGGAATTCACAGACCAGGGTGTCAGTGACAGGCAGATGACAGGTGAGCCTTCAGCGTGAGTGACATTTCTGTTCTGCATCCTTGTGAAGAAAGGAATGATTTGGATTTTGCTCTTGTTTTGATGTCAAAGAGAGAGGGAGGATAGAAATACGGCCGTGTTACAAGTCACGGTGCCTCCGGCAAGAACCACTGGAACAAAGGAAATTCATTTTCTCACCCTACTTGTTGGTGCATGATTTGTTTATTCATGGAGAGACAAACACATGGTAGACTATAAAAAGTGAAAGCCTGCAAAAGGATTTAAAAATTGTGTTTATATTGCTATTAAAGTTCAGTCTTGATGTAACAGCAGGAAGGCAAAATCATAAAAGTACATTACGTAGTTTAGAAATAATAGACCTGCCACGGAGGGAAAGAAGGATGGAACCACAGAGTGAAAGAGGGAGGGGTAGAGAGAGGGGGAGATAAAGACACGGGGGTGGAGGTACGGGTAGTAGAGAGATGGAGAGACCTCCGGTGCCCACCAACGCAAGCTTAACCCCTCTGTGTGTGCACCTTCCGGAAAACCTTGCCTTTGCTTTCAAACAAAGAAAATTCTCTTTCAGAAAATTTTAAACCTCATGACTACGAAGAGCAAGATTTGAGGCAGAGAGGAATTCTCTCTAAATCTGCAGCCCCCTTGAGGTTCCTCACTTGATCCCCTACTGACTCTCCTTTTCTGTGAAATAGGGTTTATAATGAAAAAAAAATTTTCTAACCCTCTAGAGCACTTTTTCCACAGGCATTTCACTGAGAGTGGACATGGAGGTGCCTATAGCCATCCACTACCCTCAAGTCCCTGAGCGAATCCCACGCCGGACCCACAGCTGACTAACAGGGGAGATTGCTGGAGAGGGGCCAGGGCGAGCTGCAGTGCAGAACTGAAGGTGGTTTGTCAAATTCATAAACTGCTAGAAAGTGTCAACAGCACAATAATTGCTCTTCTGGATGCTTCAAAACGAGGGACGGGGCATCATTTAAGTCAAAATAATAAGAAAGGGGGAGTAGTCAGCCACGTTCCCATGGGCGAGCCAGGGGAGGAGGGAAGCCACACGGTCATGACAGTCCTGGAGACTGAGAGCTGTTCTGTCACTGCTTGATTCTGGCATCGGACAGTCCTGGCTTCAATTCCCAGCTCCACCCGTGACTAGTCGGCAAGCCTGAGTAGGTACATAACCTCTCCAGGCCTTACTCCCCTGCTCTGGGAAATGAGAGTGACAAGGGACACATCTTGTGAGATTGTTGATAGGATTTTAAAGCATAGCGTGTGTGAAGTGCTTATCTCAACGTGCCTGATATAGACACACACACAGAGTACTCAGAAAACAGGTGGCAGCTACCATCATCTTGCTGGTCTCCAGTAGATACCACTGCTCCTTGGTCTCTGCTTCTTTTCCTTTGCAGATCTTTCCCCTCGTGTGAGTGGTTCTGCCTTGCCCACCCCAGAGATGGACACCTGACCAGTGTGGCCAATCAGCACATCCTTCCCCTTCAACACAGACATAGGTCAGGTGGGCATGGGACCCTAGGGGCCAATGAGAGTCCTCTTCAGCGGTGCTCCTGTCTCTGGAATTATTCTTTGTAAGGAGATGCTGA